CCCCCATTACTGCATATCGTCCAATGGGAGAACAGAGGGGCCATGCTAGCTCCCAGGCCCAGCTAGAGTTACCCTCCTCTGAGCCAGTGGCTGCATAAGCTAGAGGCGTTGGGTGGAGATCACCTCCTAAGCCACCTGGGAGCCTGGTCTCACTGCATCACATGTAGTACCCCAGCCTCATTTTTGTTACGGATCAAACATAGGGCTAGCAGAACCTCAGAGACCCCTTGTGAGTAGGAAATGGGCCATCCAGACAGGCCACCTCCTAACTTACTAGTAAGCCCCTGGGCTGCCCCCCAGAGGAGCCTGGGACTCAACAGCACCCTCTGTAAGTAGGTGGGGAAGCCCCATTGAGGTCATTCTTGGGTCCAGCATAGAGACTATGGGGAGGGGCCTGCGGGAAGAGTACAAGTGAATGTTCTAGAAAATGATGAAATGTGAGCCAGTGACAAGGAAAAATCATGTATGTGTCCCTCCCTCCCTTCCTTCCATCACTCTCTTTTCAGCCTCTGCCTTATGCCAGGCCAGTGGAAATGAGTAAGACAGACTGAGCCAACATGAAGGTTTCCTCAGGGGTGGGGTGGGTGGTGCCTCATACTTTCTTCTATCCCACAGATTCCTCAGGCTGGTGGAAAGGCCGGCTGCATGGCCAGGAGGGCCTCTTCCCTGGAAACTATGTGGAGAAGATCTGAGTGGGGGGCCCAGGATTCTGTCCTTCCGCCTGCCAGGGAGCCAGGCCCTGCTGGCAGGGGGTCTCCTTTCTCTTAGCTGCATTAGCCAGAAGGTCCAGTCCTGTGGCCTCCAGCCCAGCCCAGGCTCTGGGTGGGTCTGAGGGTCATCACTGCAGTCACCTCTGGGCCCTGGCCTCCCGTGTCACACCCGTTTCCTAGTGTGTCACATAGGGCTAACAGCAGAGCCTACCTCCCAGCTGCCTTGTGAGTATGAAATGAGTCGTATCCTAGCAGCAAAGCTTGGGGAAAAGTGGAGAGGCCTTCACAAGTGTGACCTCCCTCCTTCTCCACTGAGGCAATAAATGTTTGCCGGATAGAAGTATGAACAGACTGAGCGCCAAACTTCTTAGAAACCTGTGACATATGCCCTAACCGGTTTGGCTCAGTGGATAGGGTCCCAGGTTTGATTCCAATCAAGGGCATGTACCTTGGTTGTGGGCACATACCCAGTAGGGTGTGCAGGAGGCAGCTGATCTATGTTTCTCTCTCATCGATGTTTCTAACTCTCTATCCCTCTCCCTTCCTCTCTGTAAAAAATCAATAAAATATATTTAAAAAAGAAAAAAGAAACCTGTGACATAGGAGCAGCAAATGCACCATTTTACAGGTGGAAACATGAAGGCTCAGAGGTTGAGTCACTTGCCCAAGATTCCACAGAGCCAAGCCTTAAAAAGTTTGAGCTTGTCTACTTGCCAGCTGCCAGAAGTTGTATCCCAGCTTTCCTTCAAAAAATGGTCTGGTTGGTTCTGTCATATCTGAATCTGCAGTCCCCAAACCCATCTAGGACTTGACTGGACCCTGAGGAAGGAAAGAGGCTCCACAGTCCACCCTGGGCCACCCCTGGTCCCTACGCCCCACCCCATGTTTGTGCCTTCTTAGCCCTCATTTACCCATGGTCTGGAAGGTTCTGACATTCCAGGGCCCTGACTTTCTGCACTTATGGTCACAGGTGAAGGGGTCATCTGGCAACTGGTCTCCCCAGCTGTCTGCAAACCCATGCTGAAATCTGAGCCGTTGAGACCTTACAGGCACAGCTGGAACCAGCTGGGAGTTCTGCCATGGTCTCAGCCTAAGGAGCCTGGCTTTCTAGATGGACACCTTTTCTGTGCTCAGCCCCTCAAAGAGCAGCCAGTCTGGGAGACTGGTGGGGTCAGGACTGAGCCAGAGAAGGGACAGGGGATGACTGGCCAGTTGAGTCTTTTGCAGGATCTGCACCCTCTCTCTTCTGCACCTACCTGGGGAAGCTGAGTGTAGCTGGGGGGGGGGGGGAATCCCAAGGTTGCAACTGAGTCTCAAAAGCCCTTTTTTCCTTTTAAAACATATTTTACTGATTTTTTATAGAGAGGAAGGGAAGGGGATAGAGAGTTAGAAACATCGATCAGCTGCCTCCTGCACACCCCCTCCTGGGGATGTACCCCATGCCCTTGACCGGAATCGAACCTGGGACCTTTCAGTCCACAGGCCAACACTCTATCCACTGAGCCAAACCGGTTAGGGCTCAAAAGCCCTTTTATTAGTCCATTGTTATACAAAAGCTTCCAGCCAGTCCCTTGAATGTCCCTGGTTCCTTCCATCTCTGATTTTCTCACTCTGCCCAACCACTATGTGTGCGTCTCTTGCTGCAAGACTTACATGTGAGGACAGACAGAGGGGAGGACAACCCACATGAGCCACCAACTTGATCAGCTGGGCATTTCCTGGTGGAAGAAATCAGGGCTTCCTTTCCCTTCTCTGCCCTCACACTCACCCTGTGGCCCCACTACCATCGTGGCAGGCACCTCATATGTAGGAAGTAGGGTCTTCTGGATAGGATGAGTGAATGAGGTTTGGGTGTGGAGCTGAGTATGGAAAAGGGAGTGGATTTAACGTATTGTAATAGCTTCTCACATCTAGGTTACAGTATCTGCAAACCTGTCAGTTTGACCTCACCCACACAGCCCACATCCTATTGACTCTTTTTTATACATAAAACTTGTTAAGTTCAGGCCCTCCTTTCCCTTCCTTAGATCCCTGTCCTTTCTGAGGCCTCACCCCACCCTTCCCCATATGCACCAATCTTCCCTGCTCACACACACCTCTCCACCATGCATCAAAATGACCTGTTTTTTTAAGTTTTTAACTGTATTAAAGATAATCAAAAGATAAGTTTTTAAATTCAAACTGCACAAAGGTGTGAAAAATCTGTCTCTCCCTCAGAAATCCCCGTTCCCCTCCCCAATTTTTAATGTCTCCTTCTAAAGGTATTCTCTGTATATAAGAGCACACAGGTGCCGGTGTGGGTCAGTTGATTGGAGAGTCGTCCACTACACTGAAAAGTCTTGGGTTCAATTCCCAGTCCAGGCACATACAGTGGGGCCTTGACTTACGAGTTTAATTCGTTCCGAGACCAAGTTCGTTAAGGAGCTCGTTAAGGAGCTCGTTAACTCAAATTACTCTATCAACTCAATGCAAAAAATCAGCCGAGAGACAGCTGGTATCTCAAAAAACTCGTTAGTTGGGACACTCGTAAGTCAAGGCCCCACTGTACTTAGGTTTTGGGTTCAATCCTCGGCCCCATCATTGGGGGACGTGCGGGAGGCAACCAATCAATGTTTCTCTCTCTCTCCCTTCCCCTCTCTCTAAAAAAATCAGTGAACATGGCCTCGTGTGAGGATGAAAAAAAAAAAGCATACAGGTACATCTTATGTACACAGATGGGATTACATTGCACACAGTCTACACTTGCCTTGAACTCAGACACCTCACGAATGGTTAAATAATGTATTAAAGAGCTCTGATATCAAAAACACTTCACTGTCCCCCAATAGCTCAACTTCCAAAGGACAGGCAGGGATTAGATGGTGTACCTCTCCCTGCTGAAAATTCATCAGTGTCTAGAATAGAAACCAGTTCACAAAGCCCTGCATGACCCTCCCTGCACCAAGTTCACTTTTTGTCTTCCACATCCCGCCTCCACTCTGCTGGAGCGCACTGATGTCGCTGTTCCCTGAAAAAGGCAAGTCTGTCCCTCCCCATCTCAGGACATTTGTACCTACCCACTTTTTCCAGAGTGCTCTGGCCCCATGACCTTCCACTGGCTCACTCCCTCCTCTCAGACAACAGCTCAGAAGTCGCCTCACAGAAAGGCTTCCCTGACCCATCACGGCCACATCCTTCTGTTTGTTTGTTTTTGGTAGCACTTAATATAACCTAAGATCATTTTCTGCATTTGTTGTTGTCTGTTTTCCCATTTAAAAATGTGAGTGGCTTCTGAGGTCAGGGATGTTTGCCGGCACTGTTCATTGCTGAGTCCCCAGAACCTAGCACACAGTAGGTTGGACAGGTGACTCATTCTTTGCTGGTACACTCAGTGCCATCCTCCTGGAAACACACCCTTCCTGACAGTTAGCTTGCTTCCCACCCTTAGCTATCCCAACGGACCCACTCCAACTTCAAAACTAAATGCATTGAAAATTTTTACTACTGCCCTGGCCAGGTAGCTCAGTTGGTTGGAGTATGGAACCTATACTTCCAGGTTGGGGGTTCCATCCTAGGGGCACATTCAAGGGTCAACCAATGAATCATGGATTGGTGGAACAACGGGGGAATGTCTCTCTCTCCCTTCCTCTAAAGTCAATCAATACAATTTAAAAAAATGTTTTTATTGATTTGATAGAGAGGAAAGGAGAGGGGGAGAGAGAAATATTGATGTGAGAGAAACATTGTTTGGCTCCTGTAGGCACCGCTGCGGGGGATCAAACCTACAACCTGGGCTTGTGCCCTGACCCGGAATCAAACCAGTGACCTTTCTGTGCATGGGACGACGCTCAACCAACTGAGCAACACCCGCCAGGGCAATAAATAAAGTTTTTTTAAAAATGTTGACGACCATTGCCAACTTCCTTCAAAAGAGGGTGCCAGTCAACACAACCTCTTCAAAAAGGAGCGTTGTTGTAACTGGTTTGGCTCAGTGGATAGAGCGTCAGCCTGTGGACTGAAAGGTCCCAGGTTCGATTCCGGTCAAGGGCATGTACCTTGGTTGTGGGCACATCCCCAGTAGGGGGTGTGCAGGAGGCAGCTGATCGATGTTTCTCTCTCATCTATGTTTCTAACTCTTTATCCCTCTCCCTTCCTCTCCGTAAAAAAAAAAAAAAAAGGAGCGTTGTTTATCGCCTTTCCAGGCTGGTGATGATACGGAATGGGCTGAAGATACCCATTTTACAGACGAGTACACAGGCCAGGGAAGATTTTAATCCTGGATCTCAGCGCACTGGCTGTTCACATTGCCCTCAGTTTGCAAACCCGCTGCGGGGGGTGTTCTGTGGTTCAGGAGTCCCCGGACCGCAGGCCCCGCCCCCTCACGGAGCGCCCTGCGCAGGTCCCGCCCGTGCTCTCGCGAGAGCTGGGAGGCGGATAATGGCGTCGAAGTGAGCGCGAGCTCACGGCCGCCCAGGAAGTCGCCGCAGCCTCAGCCGGAGCCGCAGGAGCTGCGGGGACAAAAGGCCTAGCCGGGCCAAGGATGGTGAGCGCGGCGCCGGGGACACGGGTGCGGCGAGCCAGCGGGGACTGGAGGGGAACGGTCCTGTCACGCACACACCCTCCGGCCAACCCCGCCCCCACATCCGGACACTCGCCCCGTCACTAGTCATTTGGCTACCACCCCACCCCCGACTTCCGGGCCTGGTTTCGACTGGGCCACCCCCACTGAGCTCGGGCTCCGCCCCCGGTCTTCATGCCACCGGCCCCCAACACTTCCAAGTTCACCTGCACAGGTCCGGTCCGTCCTCAAACAATCCATGTGGCCACTTCCGGCCTCACCAGCATCTTCCTAACTCCACTCGGTTCAGAGCCTCGCCTTCATAGCCTTTGTCCCGCCTACTCCCTCCAGGCCACGTGGGGGGCCTCCCATCTTCCTAAGCTGGGGCAGAGGGGATGCTGCTTTCTATGAGCACTTCCTGACAGCTGTCCACTTCTGCGTTAGGAACACTTCCCGCCTAGCTGCCTGCCTCCCTGGATGGTAACTCCTTAGGATGGGGCTGACTGGCTCTTGTTTCCGGAGCATTCGCTGCTTCAGGAATGCACCACGGTCTTTGGGGGTAGGGAGGGTCCCCTGGCTGGCCCCAGCAGACCCTGGGCCCAGAGGGGTCTCCCCACCTCTTTTTTCCACCAGGAGGAGGAACCCTCCGTGCCCAGCCCGGACATGCTGATCAATGCAGAGCCCGGCTCCAGTGAGACCCAGAAGGAAGTGTCCCCAGGCGTGGCCGCTGCAGCCCCCTCCTTCTCCATGGGGGAGGCGTCAGGGCCTGACCAGACAGCCACACCCCCATTGTGGGATCGCGGAGGG